CCGTATTTCAAACCGAGGTCGATAGTCATGTGATATTTCGAAATAGGCGTTATTATTTTCCAATTGTAATCGTGTGTTTGGAGGTATAAAGGGAAGTGCAACATAATCACCAAGTATAATCTCAGGCAGTGATTCTCAAAGTGTTGTGGGCTCCCTCTAGTGGTATGGGAAAAAGATAACACCTCAATATGACTAACAAACTATTTTTTAAAATTGTATTTTATTTTATTTTATTTTTTGCCAGTATCGGAAAGTTTTTTTCAAACACTAATTTTACATACAGGTTATATTGAAATTTTATGTGCAAGCAAGTAAAAAAAAAAAAAATCATTTTTACTTTTGGAGGTTCCACTGGATTGCGGTTGAGATGGTTGAAAAAACAAATGCATTAAAGCTTAAACAACACATTTTAAGCTCAACCAATCAGAGGGACAAACATATACAAGAAAACAGGACATGACAATGTCCGTTTGGTGTCCCGCTGCTACTTTGAACCACGGTACACAAAATATGACGTCTAACGAAGCTTCTGTCCTTCTCTCTACCCCTTGTCAACCACCGCCATTATCATACTTTCCATCCATCCATCCATCCATCCATCCATCCCTCCCTCCCTCCCTCCGTTCGCAGATGACCTTTCCGAGCCGAGGTGGAAATTCCAGAGCGCTTTTTCCTCTGTGCATTGGCGGAGTGCTTTTCCGTGCTTGCGCTGCCACACACACATACACACACAAACACACACACACACACACACACACACACACACACACACACACACACACACACACACACACACACACAAGCAACTTCCAAGACCACCGACAAGTGTACATACTACAAACACACTCCACGTAGAGCCGAGAGCGCCATCTAGTCGCCGACAGGGTGTTTTAGTCCAGTGCGAGCCTGCCGTATGTGGACGTTTACTTCAAAAAAAAAAGTGCTGATATATCACTTCCATAGACATTTCTATACATCTCTATTACCTGACAAATATAGAGGGGCTGACCGGATGACGGTGTTTTCATTTCAGTACAAAAAAAATCAAAAAAAGACAGAAGCAAAGAAAGAAAACGCGCAGAAAGGGGAGAAGGTGTAAATAACTTAGTCGACAAAGAACAGCATTTAAAAACATGGAAAAAAACATGCAAAAAGATCTTTAGCAACTCTGAAAAAGGACACAACATTATTATTATTATTATTGTTATTATTATTATTATTATTGTCATTGTTATTGTTATTATGACCACGAATAACATTATCATCTTGTCAAAAGGGATTATCACATTCCAAATTGTACAATGGGAAAATCACTAACCTATTTTAAATTTCTACGTAGATTTTAGGTGAACAACACAGGGAGGGGGAGGGGGGTTGGTCGCACTTTTATTCGGGAGGTTTTAATATTTGAGCTATTTTTTATTTATTTATCTAATTATTTTGTTTATTGGGGGGAAGAAAAGGGGACTGAGTGGGTTGCAATATTTTCATTTTAGAATTTTTCTAGAGAAAACAAAAAACAAAACGTCCCGAGGGCCTGTTTGTGCCAGACTCTCGCAATGGCGTAATTATAATGTATTATTAATGACAACAACGATTATATTTATTTCTAATTTATTGAACCCTGTTTTTGATTCGCTCTCTTTTTAAGTTAAAATAAAAAGTATCCTACTACTGACGTGTCCTGTCGTGTTTTACAAAGCGTGGGCGTGAGCAAGGAATGGTGGAATTGTGATTCATTTCTGTACATTCCATCGTGCAAGAAAAAACGCATTTCTGCATTTTAATCATGCCTCACCGAGTCATACATTTTTGGGGGGAATATTGTTCATAATTTTTACTCTACTGTATCTGGATAGCCGTGTATTATCACTTCAATTCATATTATAAATTATGCAATGTTCAAATTTTGGACAGAAAGTTTCAGGAACCCTTCAAGTTTCATTCCTGTTTCAAAATGTTACCTCGTGTTGTTATTCCACTTGTGACCAGCAGGAGGCGTCATGAATTTTAAAAAACGCGTTGTGTATGAAGCAAGTGTGTCTGTTATCTCATGTTTTTCTTTGAGGGAGTTGGCCGTTTATTATCATGAGTTTGTTTGTTTTAATCTCTTCATACACAATTTCAGTTCACTACACTAATGTAGTTAGTTTAGTTGTGCAATAATTCATTGATTAATTGACAACTAATTCATTATCAGATTAATCAAGTATTATGATACCAATTAGCTGTTTTGAGGTCTTGTTTAAATTAAAATTGTCCAACAGCGAACAGACTTGTGGGCTAATCTTGGCGTTGTTGTAAATGCGTGGACACAACTGCATACATCTGCACGACAAACGGTAAGGACAAACGATGGTCTGCCTGCCTGTTTGTGTGTCCTCCGAGCGGAATAAAACGCGGATGTGTGTCAGTGTCGGACGCTTGGCCGCCATCCATCTAGCGAGTCGTTGTCCCTCCCTCTCCGTTATTCCCTCTCTCCTCGCCCCGCCTGCCTTGGTGCCTGCTCGTCCTCGCCCGCACTCTTTTTCTCTGGCTTCCCCCCGGCCAGCTTTCGCCTCTGGCCGGCCACACGCAGCCGGACGGACTCCGCAGGCACACACAGCATAACGCGGGGGAGAAAAAGCAAGAAGAAAACACAACTGGACAACTGAGGGGAACAACAAGCGGGCGCAGTGCAGCATCGCGCTCCCCCGCCACGTGTGTAAATCGGTGTTGCTTTCAACGGCCTATGAGGGACATAATTTTTTTTTTCATCAGAAAAGTGATATTCGAACTTTCGAAGATGTAAAGAGTCTGCGTGTGCTGCTAAGCTTGAGCTGGACACATTCATTCAGCGGCACCGTTAGCTCGCTCGTCTCTGTGGAAACCAATTTTTTTTTGGTGGGGGGGAAGGGGGGGCCAAGCCGAATTCCCCAATTGTCCGCGGGAAGAAAGAAGACAAGAAAAAAAGTAAGTACCGGTTTTCCCCTTTCTCGCTTTGGGCCAAATGTGTGCGTTTTGCGGCTGGTCGGCAGGCGAATGGTGACGACGTCATCACGCACTCACGCGAGTCATTTAATTAGCTTCAAATAGCGGGCCTCTGGCGACTAAACGCCACAAAACGCCGCGTCCACGTCTAAAACATTCGTATACATTTATTTTGAAACACACCGTGGTCTGTTTTTGTCGGCATTTTGATACTAAGCGTCGCTTT